TAACGGTTATTCCATACATCTCAATAATAAACACCTTGAATTTTTATGGGAAATTAAAGACTATATACAAAAAATAGCTACTCTGCAAACAACAAACTTCAACGTAAACATAAGGTAGAGCGGGACATAAAGGGGCACTTAGGAAACAAATGCTAGTTCCGGATAAACTAATCATAGTTAACACTGTTTTTTATAAATTTACTAAAGTTCATTGATATAAGAAAATAAAAAAACAAAAAAAATTTCTAAAAATGAGTTATGACAACCAAAGTAACGAAACCTTGGACTAGCAAAACATTTTTACAGTTTTGCAAGTGGGTGGGGCAAAACAGGACAGTTAAAAAACAGCAGTTATTTGTCAATTGTAAAGCTTTAAAAATGATGAAAAATGAAGGCTATCTATTGCCTAAATAAGTTCAGACATTAAACTCTCGAAAAAGTAACATACTCATAGAAACTACACGCTCATACACCTATAAACAACAAAAACGAAATGACAGCTAAAAATAAATACTTTTTGTGTGTTTTATAATAAAATACCTCCGCTCTACTCTAACCAATATATTATTAAATTAATAACTGCTACTAACTTTGGAATTAAAAAAAAAAAATTATGGCTCACATAAATCACACAAAAAGTATCCTGAAACTGTTCGGCAACATTTTGATTAGTTGGCTTATTAGCAATATACCAATGTAGAGCAAACTTAAATATGCCATATGTATCAATAGCTTTTCTAATTCTAAGTTTCTGTTTACTCACAATTAAAACTGAATTTCATCCCGTTTTGGATGATTTATCTTTCTTATATAATTTCCTACCTTTTTTGTTTACATTAAACACCATTAGTTACCTAAGTTAAGTTTTAAAAATAAATATAAAAAGCATTAGTTTAAATTTATGGCTAAAATTTATTTTATAAATTAAAAAATAAAATTTAGATTAAAAATAAAAAAATAAAATCATCAAACTGTAAACAGCATTGCGAAATGGTAGCAATAGACTCAATTATATAAATACTATTGTTGTCCCTTAATGCCCCAAAAAAAAGGCATTTTACTGAAATTGATACTATTCAAAAAGTTCAATTCCGAATATTTTTTTAAAACAAGTTTCTAAAAGAGGATGAAAAATACTATCTGAAAAAAATAAACTTTTTATAAATAAAACAAATCCGCAAGAGTTCAAGATAAACCTTTTGTCACTGTATCACTTAAGAAAATAACCAAATTTTCTTTTCCGCAAACTTACTGATGCATTTTGGTAATTTTTTTTTTTTTTTTTTAAGTGCCTCAAGAAGACTTAACGGTTTTGTCAGGGAGCACCGCGGAAGTGCATTTAACCAGGAAGTTCACGCCTCCTTCCTTACCGTGTTGCAAAAATATGTCCAGAGCTCGTTTCGAACCTGGATCTTCTGCTTGTAAAGCAACTGCTGTAACCACTGCGCCATGGCCGCACTTTTAACGCATTTTGGTATTTCTAAAGTTAAATTTTTTTTTTACCAATTTAATGAAGCACAATAATTTAAATGTTTTATCAAAAAAAATATTTGAAAAAAATTATTTTTAGTTGAGATATAAAGCTTCAGGCATAACTGTCCCGTTATGTCTCTTTATCCCGATATACCCTACTCTACCCTACGCACTATGGTTTCTGAGACCCAAATTTTTGGCATTAACTAATTTTTGGCATTAATTAATTTAAACACAAAATAACTGATGTATTTTTTTTTCTTAAGATAAAATAGTAAAATGTATATATATATTTATATATGTATATATATATTTTAGTACATTTAGTATGTTTAATAAATTTATATATATTTATTATATAGATATATTTAATATAAAGTTATATTTTATTCAAATCTATTGTAAAGAAATACCATTATATAAATTCATATTCAAAAAATAAGTTAAATTTCAACTATATTTTACTATCCAATTAAATGAAATCTAAATAGTTTACAGAAAATAAGTCCTCATCAGCAACTTGATCGTCCTAGTCGTCAGCGCTTTCACAACCTTCTTTGCTTTTGCTATGATGATGTTGCGAGGTATTGGATGGCATTTCTGTTAGTAAACTAAATACCTCAGAACGAGTAGGGAACTTGCGATGATTCTGACTTCTTCTGTGTAAAATAATATTGGAAATGATATCTTAGACTCTATGAAAAATATCTTCATTGACACTAGCAAGACATGGTCATAAGAATAGTTTTTAGCTTTTTAATCAAGTCTTCATTCACATTGGTTATTTGGGAAAAATTTTCAACATTTTAAAATGCTCGGCGAGCAGTATTTCCTTCGTTAGTAGGGAAGAACGGGGCAACATGGCGAAGGGGGCAAGATGATGAATTGCTTTTTCTAGCCGAACCGCTCAATAATGAATAGTTTAAATAGATAGTAATGAAAACTGTCTATATGGGTCTTAATTCAAATAACATTTTGTTTTTGTAGTTATTGTCCCCGTGGATTTATTCACAAAAGTCTATTTTTACGATTTTTAAAATAATTTTTTTTTTTCAGTTTGGTCCTTATTATTTTAGGCTACGCTGCCTTTTGCATGCTGCGAAACTATTATTTGGTACAAAAAACATTTTTTAATATTATTATAGTAAATGTTTGTGCAGCTGTTGTAGAGTAATAGAGTTATTAATGGAATTAGAATAACTGTGTCAGCGGGGCAAGTTGATTGGGGCAAGATAACGAGTCTGCCATCTATATATATATATATATATATATATATATATATATATATATATATATATATATATATATATATATATATATATATATATATATATATATATATATATATATATATATATATATATATATATGTATATATTTGTATATAAAATATATATACATATATTTGTATATATGTATATATATTTTTTGTATACATGTTTGTAGGTATCTGTGTGTAAAGTTAAATTAATAGATTAGTGCATATATTTTTTTCTGTGTGT